TGGATTTCAGCTTTAACATTCTCATAGCAAGGGGCATTTTATATTTGGACTTCTGAAGTTGTATTGTGGTCTTGAAGGGGCTAATGGTCTTCTAAACCCTAGCTGGGATTAAATAGAAAATGGCATCATACTTAGCTTGTTGGGCAGGTGGATGAGATGGTGGTCATGTCCTCCATGTTCTCCAATTAACTCGTTGGGTGCCAAGTCTGGGGAACATGAGAGGCCTACCTTGGGGTGGGTTCTTCTGCGCTACGCTAGGCACCTTGTATAGGATCACTCAACTTCACATACATGGGGTACCTCTACTCTATGCCATTTTCACCAATGCCTTGGGACAAAGGCTGGGGTCGCTATCAGGGAATACTCAACCTTTAGGCAGGATGCTACTCTTTAGAGATGAACGTGCACCATGTACATTTGCCCTCCCTATTATCTCTGGCAACCACTGTTAGTGGGGAAAACTTTAAGTTATCACTCCAAAAGATAAACAAACGAAACCAGCGCTCCAATCCTCATGCAAACTTGAAAAATATCAGGATGCCAAACGAAGAGGTGCTGCCCTTCAAAGATCGGGAAATCTGACCACTGGTAAAAAAGAACAGACAAGGGCGCACTCTCATCGTGCATTACTGTGGTATACCACGTGTTTATTGAAAAGACAAATGGATGTACACTCACAAACCAACGATATTAAAAACAGTGTATGTGGTCCACAAAAACAGTCGCAAAAGTGCTGTGCCTTTGATGCGGATAGGCTAACGCGTTTCGGGAGCTGCACCCTCTTCCTCAGAGCTACCTATCACCACAAATAGAGTAGAAAGTAAATCTTCCAAAGAGGATTCCTGGTGACAGCCGTCTGCAATAGGAAATCCTTATACTTTGGAGGGATTACCTTTCACTTCCTGTTGCATTTCCAGTAAAGGACATGAAGAGATATCTCCCAAGCAGGACACAGGCAGCAAAAATGAAAGTGACAGGGGTTTTAACCCTCCCTGCTCTATCCAAAGAAAAGCTTTGGCTGTGCATACACTTTAAAGCTGAACTCCATGTACAAAAATGTTCATTTAAATATATTCCTTAACAGCCACAAAGGATATAAATTAAATTTGTGTGCACCTAATGCCTTAGCAAACCCAGATATTACCTGGTAAAAGCAGCAGCTACTGTAGATCATCACTATGCTGTACATAGCCTGTGCAGAGGGCAGAGCTATGGGAGGGGCCCAGCCAGGGGCAGACTGACAACTCATGGGGCCCCCGGGCAATAGGGGATCATGGGGCCTCTGTGTTCTTGCCCAAACTCAAAAAAGCCTATGAAAAAGGTACCAGGGGCATATCATGGGGCCCCCTACTGACCCCGGGCCCTCGGGCAGTGCCCGAGTTTCCAAATGGTCAGTCCGCCCCTGGGCCCAGCAGGTCCATCTACTACTGGCTGCCTGCAGAAAACTACAGGAGGGGGCAGAGACAAGACCAGTCACTCTGCACAAAGAGCGAGAGCGGCATTGACTGGTCTTTATTACAGGAAACTTTTTTCATGTTGAACTACTGAACAGATCTGGAAGAAATGCTTAAAGCAACCAACATTCAAGTCAGAATATATATGCCTCTTGTATTTAGATGCTATTTGAGCATCCTGATTCAGGATTATATTCCCTAGAATTCCAGTCAGTTAGGGCAGTGGTCGACAAGCCGCGGCTCGCGCTCGCGAGCCACATGCGGCTCTTCTGTGTGCCGGGCACCCGCTCCCCTCCCTCCTCTCGGGCGGCCGCCCCAAAAGTCAGGACTCTGCAGCTAGCCCAGCAATGGGCAAACTACGGCCCGGTGGACCTTTTAATCCGGCCCCCGGAGCGTGGCAAACATTGGCTGTCAGGATGTAGGCGGGGCAGCGTGACGAACTCCTCTCCTCTCACAGTCCGCCCTGAAGACCGGAACGGCGCGGGAACACAGCGAGAGGAACGCGCGGAGCAAAGGTAAGTGAATTGACACAATATGGGGAATGAATTACTATAGGGGGGATGAATTACTATAGGGGGGATGAATTACTATATGGGGGATGAATTACTAAGGGGGATGAATTACTATAGGGGGAATGAATTACTATAGGGGGGATGAATTACTATATGGGGGATGAATTACTAAGGGGGATGAATTACTATAGGGGGAATGAATTACTATATGGGGGATGAATTACTATATGGGGAATGAATTACTATAGGGGGATGAATTACTATAGGGGGATGAATTACTATATGGGGGATGAATTACTATAGGGGGATGAATTACTATATGGGGGATGAATTACTATGGGGGATGAATTACTATATGGGGGGTGAATTACTATATGGGGGATTAATTACTATGGGGGATGAATTACTATATGGGGGATGAATTACTATATGGGGGATTAATTACTATGGGGGATGAATTACTATATGGGGGATGAATTACTATGGGGGATGAATTACTATATGGGGAGAATTACTATATGGGGGATGAATTACTATATGGGGGGATGATTACTATGGGGGATGAATTACTATATGGGGGATGAATTACTATGGGGATGAATTACTATATGGGGGATAAATTACTATATGGGGGATGAATTACTATGGGGGGATGAATTACTATATGGGGGATGAATTACTATATGGGGAATGAATTACTATGGGGGATGAATTACTATATGGGGGATGAATTACTATGGGGGATGAATTACTATATGGTGGATGAATTACTATGGGGGATGAATTACTATGGGGGATGAATTACTATGTGGGGGATGAATTACTATGTGGGGGATGAATTACTATGGGGGATGAATTACTATATGGGGGATGTATTTTCAGTTTTAAAAATGTGGCTCTCAAAATAAATTTCAATTGTGGTTTTGGCGAGATTTGGCTCAGTTGAAAAAAAAGGTTGCCCACCACTGAGTTAGGGGAATAGTCCTATGGGACATACACTACAGATTTATTGCCTTATACTATATCATATGTTATGCCTTTTTTCCCTTGCTAAGACTTTCCTATCTCAGGTCTCTCCTGCTGTGATTTTCTTTTCCCCCACCAGATTGCCTATTGAAAGGATAGAGGAGAAGGTCAAGCCGGACAGCATGACATGACAATGTCACAAGACACCCAGACATAAGCTAAGGGACACAAAGGATGCATCCAGTTCTTATTACAATGGGGGTGCCTGCTATGTGGTTGTATTTCTTCATAACAGCAAATATATTTCAACATGTTTGAAGCCAATATTGTGTAATCCCACATACAGTGTATCTAAAACCTAACAATGAACTTCCATTATTTTCTCCCATTTTGTCTGTTTAATATACTATTAAAAGCAGTTCGATAAAAAAAAAAAATCTTGTAAGAACTTCAGAGGTGTCCTCTCCTACGTCCTCTGTTATATCAAGGGGTTTTTGTAGCTCTCCTAGTTCTTATCTTGGACTACAGATTAGTCAAATATGTTTTTGAGATCAGGAGAGTGGGAGAATTTGAGTAATTTAACAAAAGACAACTAGGCAGGGCTGACACCACTTAGTCCTTAAAAATGCATTTCTAGCAGATCATCGGGTATTTTTCTGTACTTTCAAGGTCTTTATAGATAAACCTGGGAAATGCGCATGTATTGCAGAAATGTACTGCATGTTTTTTTTTCCCCCTGACATACACATTAACCTTATGACTAAGTTCATTATCACGCTGTGATCCATTCGTCTATAGCTGCTATTAAACTCCAGAGCAGCGATGTGACCTTTGTGGGACAAGCACTGTGTGTTTCACTTTCGTTTCACTATCACGGCACAAGAATGTTCACACAATCATCTCATTTTCACTGAATGCTTTCACTTTTACTTCAGGCAGATGCCTTTTTGACCTCCAAAGTGTTTACACTGAAACCTTTTGATCCAGTACCTAACATATAAATGTATCCCTGAGCTGAACAGTTTGTGTTTACACAGGAGAAATGATTCAGGGCAGGATAGCGGAAATATAAAACAGATAAAAGGAAATGTACACGTAATAAAATGATTGTGAAATAGCAAAAGCAATAAGCACACAAACATATACTGATTGCACATGATAGAGGTATGCTGTGTGTCCAATCCTGAGAGGTCCTGCAGCATACATATACTCACCGGCCACTTTATTAGGTACATCTATTCAATAGCTTGGTAACAAAAATAGCTAATCAGCCAATCACATGGCAGCAACTCAATGCATTTAGACATCTAGACATGGTGAAGACAACTTGCTGAAGTTCAAAACGAGTATCAGAATGGGTAAAGAGATTTAGGTGACTTTGACTGTGGCATGGTTGTTAGTACCAGACGGGCTGGTCTGAGTATTTCAAAAACTTCTGATCTACTGGGATTTTCACGTGCAACCATCTCTAGGGTTTACAGAGAATGGTCCAAAAAAGAGAAAATGTCCAGTGAACAGCAGTTGTGTGGACGAAAAAAAATGCCTTGTTGAGGTTAGAGGAGAATGGGCAGACTGATTCGAGGTGATAGAAAGGCAACAGTAACTTATGTCAATGTGAACCAAAATCTCTGAGGAATGTTTCCACCTTGCTGAATCTATGTCACAACGAATTAAGGCAGTTCTAAAGGCAAAAGGGGGTCCAACCCGGTACTAGCAAGGTGAACCTAATAAAGTGGCCGGTGAGTGTGTATCATTTTTGTAGAAAAAGATGGTGTTGCATCTCGTCTTTATTTATTTATTACAGGTACTTACTGGTGAAATTTGAAAAATTTGAATACCGTCCAAAAGTTCATTTATTTCAGTAATGCAACTTAACCACCTCCCACCCGCCATATAGTAGTATGATGGGCGCAAGGTGGTTCTCTCGTTCTGGGAGGACGTCATATGACGTCCTTCCCATTCTCACTGCGCATGCACGGCTCAGGGAGTGCGCAGTGATCGGCGGTGCGCTGTGTCCCTCGGACACCTTGGATCACCGATCACGGAAAGAGCCGAAGATATCGGCTTGGTCATGTGATCAGCTGTGTCCAATCACAGCTGATCACATGTAAACAGGGAAATGCCGGTTATCGGCATTTCTCTCCTCTCAAGCTGTCACGCTGACAGCTCGAGAGGAGAGGAGAGCCGGTAATCGGCTTTCTGTGGAGGGGACATGTACACTGATCATCAGGGCACTGATGATCAGTGTGCCCTGATGATCAGTGTAGCCCCAGCAGTGCCACCTGTCAGTGTCCATCAGTGCCTTATGTCAGTGCTCATCAGTGCCTCGTGCCAGTGCCCATCAATGCCACATATCAGTGCACACCAGTGCACATCAATGCCACATATCAGTGCCCATCTGAGCTGCCTTTCAGTGTCACCCATCAGTGCCAGTCAGTGCCAACTATCAATGCTGCCAATCAGTGCCACCTATCAATGCTGCCAATCAGTGCCACCTATCAGTGCCAGTCAGTGCCGCCTATCAGTGCCAGTCAGCGCCGCCTATCAGTGCCTGTCAGGGCCGCATAACAGTGCCAGTCAGTGCCGCCTATCAGTGCCAGTCAGTGCTGCCTATTAGTGCCAGTCAGTGCCGCCTATCAGTGCTGCCTATCAGTGCCATATATCAGTGCCATGTATCAGTGCTGCCTTTCAGTGCCAATCAGTGATGCCTGTCAATACACATCAGTGCCTCCCTACCGGTGACTCCTCATCAGTGCCCATCAGTGCCACCTATCAGTATCCATCAGTGCCCTCAGTGCAGCCATACCAGTGCCCATCAGTGCACCCTCATTAGTGCACATCAGTGAAGTAGAAAAATCACTTATTTACAAAATTTTATAACAAAAACTAAGAAAAAACATTTTTTTTTTTTTCAAAATTTTCAGTGGTTTTTGGTTTGTTTAAGAAAAAATAAAAAAACCCAGAGGTGATTAAATACCACCAAAAGAAAGCTCTATCTGTCACAAAAAAAAAAATAAAAATTTCATATGGGTACAGTGTTGTTTGACCGCGCAATTGTCATTCAAAGTGCCACAGCGCTGAAAGCTGGAAATTGGCCTGGGCAGGAAGCGGGTATAAGTGCCCTGTAGGCTAGCGGTTAACAGGTGAAACTAATATATGAGATAGACTCATTACATGCAAAGCAAGATAGTTCAAGCCGTGATTTGTCATAATTGTGATGATTATGGCTTACAGCTCATGAAAACCCCAAATCCACAATCTCAGAAAATTAGAATATTACATGTAATCGATAAAACAAGGATTGTACATAGAACAATATCGGACCTCTGAAAAGTATAAGCATGCATATGTACTCAGTACTTGGTTTGGACCCCTTTTGCAGCAATTACTGCCTCAATGCGGCGTGGCATGGAAGCTATCAGCCTGTGGCACTGCTGAGGTGTTATGGAAGACCAGGATGCTTCAATAGCGGCCTTCAGCTCTTCTGCATTGTTCGGTCTCATGTCTCTCATCTTTCTCTTGGCAATGCCCCTTAGATTCTCTATGGGGTTCAGGTCAGGCGAGTTTGCTGGCCAATCAAGCACAGTAATCCCACGGTCATTGAACCAGGTTTTGGTGCTTTTGGCAGTGAGGGCAGGTGCCAAGTCCTGCAGGAAAATGAAGGCAACATCCCCATAAAGCTCGTCTGTGGAAGGAAGCATGAAGTGCTCCAAAATCTCCTGGATGACGGCTGTGTTGACCCTGGACTTAATGAAGCACAGTGAAACAATAGCAGATGACATGGCTCCCCAAATCAACACAGACTGTGGAAACTTCACACTGGACTTCAAGCATCTTGCAGTGTGTGCCTCTCCATTCTTCCTCCATAATCTGGGTCCTTGGTTTCCAAATGAGATGCAAAAGTTGCTCTCATCAGAAAAGAGGACTTTGGACCACTGAACAACAGACCAGGTCTGTTTTTCTTTAGCCCAGGTAAGACACTTTTGACGTTGTTTGTTGTTCAGGAGCGGCTTGACAAGAGGAATACGACATTTGAAGCCCATGTCCAGGATCCATCTGTGTTTGGTAGCTCTTGATGCACTGACTCCAGCCTCAGTCCACTCCTTGTAAAAGTCCCCAACACTTTTGAATGGCCTTTTCCTGACAATCCTCTCCAGGCTGCGGTCATCCCTGCTGCTTGTGCACCTTTTTCTTCCACACTTTTCCCTTCCACATAACTTTCTAATAATGTGCTTTGATACAGCACTTTGGGAACATCCAACTTCTTTTTTTTTTTTTTTTTTTTGTTTACAAACGATTTTATTGTACATAAGTAGACAGTAAAACAACAGCACAGTATGAAAGTGATATTGTCCAAAAAAATAAGGCATTTTTGAAATGTACAATACATAAAAGTATATTAACATAAGAAAGAAGATAGAGGAAACAAGAAAGTTATAAGTACATGAGATACATAAATGATAAAATAGATTGAGTGATACATCTATCAACAATACATGTCAGCCAATCTTCACCGGGGATGTTGTCAATCATGCAATAAATGTCTACAATCCCTCCATGACTCCCATTTTTTATCGTATAAGTGCATCTTATCCAGTAGTGTATAATGAATGCGTTCCATAAGCATTACAGCATCAATTCTGTGCAAAACGGAGTCCAAGGGTACAACATTGGACCGCCAATGCAGGGCAATGGACCATAAAGTGGCAATACATAATGTATGTAGCAATCTCAGAGTGGCATCAGGGACCCCTGGGATATGAACCCCCAATAAACAGGTCTGTATGGACAATTGTATCGGGTTGCCCGATAGTGAGGTAGCCACCTCAGATATTTTACGCCAGATCAAAGATATATTCGGGCAATCCCAAAATATATGGACCAAAGTACCTGTGCGGCCACAGCCCCAGAAACATAAAGGGGATGTTTGTGGAAACAATGTATGTAGTCTGGACAGAGTATAATACCATCTGGTTAAAACTTTAAGGGCCGTCTCACGAACCGAAAGAGATCTAGAGCTCTTGCATATATTATCCACCATGGAGTCCCAATCCTCATCCGAAAAAGTGATACCACAATCCTCCTCCCACCTCTGTCTATACAAAGGAGGAGCATGAAAAAGACAGATCAAAAATTGGTGATAAAGATCTGAAATAAGACCCCTACCTCTAGGAGAATCACGGCTGACACGCTCAAAAAAAGAGATCGGAGAAGATGGGGTAAGACCAAAGTGCGCATTAAAAAAGTGCCTAATCTGTCTATAACGAAGGTACTCACGAAGAGGAACATCAAATAACACACGCAGCATATCGAAGGTAATATAAGATCCTCCTCTTTGGAAATCTGATAACCAACTTCTTTTGCAATTACCTTTTGAGGCTTTCCCTCCTTATGGAGGGTGTCAATGATGGTTTTCTACACAACTGTCAGGTCAGCAGTCTTTCCCATGATTGTGATTCCTACTGAACCAGACTGAGAGACCATTTAAAGGCTCAGGGACCCTTTGCAGGTGTTATGGCTTAATTAGCTGATTAAAGTGGGACACTTTGAGCCTAGAATATTGCACCTTTTCACAATATTATAATTTTCTGAGATTGTGGATTTGGGGTTTTCATGAGCTGTAAGCCATAATCATCACAATTATGACAAATCACGACTTGAACTATCTTGCTTTGCATGTAATGAGTCTATCTCATATATTAGTTTCACCTTTTAAGTTGCATTACTGAAATAAATGAACTTTTGCATGATATTCTAATTTTTTGAGTTTCACCTGTATATAGGGCCGTCAATGAAAAATAGTTGGGTCATAAACTAGAACTGGATAGCAGTGATGGTAATGCTATAAAATATAGAAAACATAGCTAACCAGTAAAGTTTATAGTTTGCTGTGGTAATGGCCAAATTGGTTTATTCAAGTTGAAATTCACACTAGATAAGGATGATCTGCAGCTATCACTCATCTGGAGCCAACTGACTAAGGGGTCCTGTGGACATGTGGACAAAAAAAATGTGAATTTTTTTTTTGCAAGTAAAAAAAATGCAATTATTATTTTTTTGTTAGGGACCTGTAAATTATTGCACCCACGATCACCAGATTGTGGGTGTAATGTCACAGTCCTGCAGACTGTGTATCTGTCTGCCCATACCTCCGATACAGGCAGGCAGTTACACTTTGACAGGAAGCTCAAAAGCGCCCTGGTAGTTCAATGAGAACTACAAGCCAACAGCCGCATTCCGGAAAACTGTGGAGCCGGCGTTTGCCTAGGGCGGCACTTTTTAGGGGGGCGGAGCAGTGGCAACACCACTGCCCTCTTTCCCACAGAAGGGACACTTAATACAGGGGTGGGCTGCTGTGTCTTACCTGGGTCCGTGACTCCGTGTCCCAGTCCCACGTCGATCTGGTCCACGAGGCGCTGCTGGAGGAGGGGTAGGGAGGTTGTCAGTGGGTCCAGTGTCTTCATTTCCCTGGATCGTGATGTGTGGGCGGGATGACATGCCGCCCCTGTCATCTTGCCACACCCCCGGGACCACTCAACAGCCTATGGCAGCTTTTCCCTCCCTCTGCAAGCTTTGCCTCCTCGCCGATGATTGGCCACCGGAACTGTAGCTCAGAAAAGGCACACAAGAGGCCAATCACCGCTGAGGAGGCGGAGCTCGGAGAGAAGAAACTGAGCAGCAGCACGAAGATCAAAGTGAAGAAGAGAGCGGCCAGAGAAGGAAGACAGCTGACCGGTAAGTGTCTGTGCTGTGCAGATGGTGCTGCTGGTGCAGCCAGGTATGCTGGCTGTGGATGGGAGAGGGAGGGAGCTTGCCCAGGCTGGAGCAGGGGTCAGCAAGGTAAGTATTATTGGTGTCAGTGGAAGGAATAGTGCCCCATCATTGGTGTCACTGATACCAATGATGAAGCACTATTTCCCCCCCCGCTGACACCAACGATGGGGCACCATTCCTCCCCCCACTGACACCAACGATGGGGCACCATTCCTCCCCCCACGACACCAACGATGGGGCAGTATTCCTCCACCCACTGACACCAATGATGGGACACTATTCCCCCTCCCACTGACACCAATGATGGGACACTATTCCCCCTCCCACTGACAACAATGATGGGGCACTATCCCCCCCCCACTGACACCAATGATGGGTCACTATTCCCCCCCCCCACTGACACCAATGATGGGTCACTATTCCCCCCCCCCACTGACACCAATAATGGGGTACTATTCCCCCCCCCACTGACACCAATAATGGGGTACTATTCCCCCCCCCACTGACACCAATAATGGGGTACTATTCCCCCCCCACACTGACACCAATGATGTACATGTGTCTGTGTATGTATGTACATGTGTCTGTGTGTGTGTACATGTGTTTGTGTATTTCTGTGTATGTACATGTATCTGTGTGTATGCGTGTCTGTATGTGCCTGTGTGTGTATACATGTGTCTGCATGTGTGTGTGTACATGTGTCTGTGTGTATGTACATGTCTGTGTGTGTGTACAGGTGTCTCTGTTTGTGTG